TGTTATTGATTGGAAAAGAAAACTTGCGAGGCTAGAGAAAACCAGACAACATCAAAATCGGATTAAGTAGAAGAGAGCAATAGAGAGACTAAACTGTGCTTCAGGTAGTTTCTAGTGTACCTTCATGTAGAGAAGCCCAATGCAATGGTATTTCAGTCTAGATTCTGGAATTCCTTTTGACACCTGCCATTATTTTTATTCCCTTTTCTTACTGTAGAACAATTAATATTGGAGTCTGAGGATTTTTGTTTCACAAAGATGGAAGTTAAATGACAGTTATTTGATAGTAAAAATATTTTTAAAAAAGGAAATATAATAAGAAATTTTACCAAATTATGTCTGAGCTTAAAATTAGAATTTCTTATGTAAAATCTTTCAGTATTCTTTGACAATGCTTAGCTTATTTGAAAATTTCCTGAATTTATTCCTTCACTTCTCAAACCAAATTGTCAAAAGTTGGTTTCTGTTGTGATTGGGGCTATTATTAGACTTTAATTTCCATTCTGATACTAATAAAAACACCAAAATTGAAAGGAGTAAGTCTAAGAAAAGAAGGAAAATTCAAGAGTCTCTGCAATGTTAAAACTATCATTAAAAGTATCATTAGCAAGTTATAGCATGGATTTTCATTGTTTTAAAGATAAGAAATGTGACTCTTCCTTGATATTTGAGTTTGAATAATGGTTTGATTCCTCTCCTCTCCTCTCCTCTCCTCTCCTCTCCTCTCCTCTCCTCTCCTCTCCTTCTGAATTTGCTCCTGGAAATAAGAAAATTTAGACAAATTTGAGTTCCATATAACTGATATTTGTTTATTATAATTCCCAAAGAAACTTCAAGCTAATGCAACTGACTGTATAATGCACGCCAATACTAAAAAAGAAACTAAAATAATCCTTGGGTATGATCATTTACCATCAGTCTCTGTCATCACCCTAATTGCATTGAATGATCTCATCTCCTTACAAATGAGGCCAGGTGAAAAAAAATGTGTATCTTACATGTTCATTTTCATAAATACTAATCATTTAATGCAAGGAAGAAAAATGGGCTTGTCAACATTGAAAATGCATTGAAAGTAAATATAAGAAAGTAAGAAACACAGTTGATGAATTCTGATTTAACAAGGTTGTGTCTCTGTCTTCTCTTTTACTATCTAGTAATAAAAAGAACTGCTGCTACATTCTATGCTTAGATGTTTGTCTGTTGGGTCATTGTAATGAATGACACATGCAATGTTAATAAATATAAAATAAGGGAAAAATAACTTTTCTGAGGAATTTCTGGCTTAGGATGTATATGTCAAGAAAAGTTGATGAAATTCCATTATAAGAACCCTGTCGCAGCCTAGTAAAAAGATATATTCATCATTCCATTGTGCAAAGACAACACACTTTTTTTGCATGGATTGTTCCTTTTCTGTACCTTTTCCTGTCATATCCTTTCTACTGGCAGCATGTGGGAGGTTGAATTTATACCTTTTTCTCTATTGTATCAGAATCTTCAAAATTCTGGCAAAATTATAACGGTCTGAATTACATATTGATGTTTTCTGTGCTCTGCTGTCCTATCACTCTACCGACAGCAGGGTTAATCCAAAATTCTTCCAATGACTTCAGCAAAGCAGTAATTTGGGTTTACATTTGCCAAATACCGGTTGCCAGTGTCTTGCCCAGCATGGGCCTTAGAAGCTGCAGGGGAACTGAAGGCAAGCAGTGTTTCTTACAGCCTCTAAGATGGTCTCTGATGACCCAGTTCACTTCAGAATTTGCAGCAGTCTCTGTCGCTGCAAAGGAGCCTGGGGACAGTGAACTGCCAAGTGTTTGGCAATCTTGCAAGGTGACATTTCTTTTCAGGAACACTTTAAGGTCAAATTACACCCCACAGTCAGTCACCCTATATCACATATAGCTGCTATGCACTTTCCAAAATCAGTTTTGTACCTGGGGTAAATGAACCAAGCCAGGCTGAGCTCACTGCATTAACACTTTGACTCATGGAATGCCTGATGTTGCAAGAATAGTCGTACCTGTGACTGCCTACATTGATATTGTCCAGACTGCTCCTGGCAGTATCCTTAGTGCTCACCTGAAAGCACAGCAGATTCTAGTTATCAAAGGATTAGACAGGCCTTGGCAGTCTTCACAACATCCTGGGTGAGGGCCCCAGAAAGCAGCAGTCAGTGCTTTTGTTTCCTGGCACAGAGTACTGTTGATTTGCACAGAAATAGTAACCAGATTCAGCGTTGGGTGAAATGATTACTAGGTAGCTCATCAATCAGTGTGAGAGTTTGGGTAAAAAGCATTGCAATGTGATAAATATCTATCCCCTGTAAGGTTGGCTTTCAATCAAGGCAGTAAAAGTAGAATGAGAGTGTAAGTTCCTCAGAAAGATTTGTTATACTATATTAAAAAATATTGTAATACAGTGCAAATAATAAAAAATTAGTTTTTCATATTGCCATGCCTTCAAAAAATTCCCATCAATCTTTATGGAAGATCTCTTTTCTAGGTTATCTATCTGACTTCTCAACACATTACAGTCTTTAGTGTTCTCAATTAGAATAATACTTTATACATCAATCAATTTATAATCACATTTCTCTTAAGGCTTTTTTTTTTATCATAATGACCCAGTTTCTTTTCTGATGACTTCGGAATAAACTTAGTAGTGATGGCTTAAAGGTGGCTTTCTTATTAACCAGGATAGTCAGAAAGGTGTTTAAAGCCACAAGGAACAGTGAGCCCCATAACATTTGGGTGGCATATTGCTTCAAGCATTGCACAAAGGGCTGTAGGTACCCTTAGTTTGCTAAGCATTAAACAGGTCTTGTCCTCAGACCTGTCTGTGAAGAAAATTTTGGTACAGAAATGAATTCATTAGACTCTGGACATGAGATCCATCATTCCTTGACCTTGCAAGGCTAGACCTAATGCCTAATTGTTTGTAAATGGAAAATATCTTTGAGGAATATATTAGCTTTCTGGTCCTGCTAGAGAGGTACATTAATAAAAACAATTGTGGATAGAGCTTTTTAAGGGTTCTCTCTGCAGCTGGACAGTTTTACTGATTTCTGCTTTTCAATCTCTTATTGTTTGATGACAGGATTATAATCACTTATAGGCAATCTTAAGTTGAAAGAATAAAGATAAAAGGAAGCCTGAATCCTTTCCAACTACACAATATCACTAGCTTATGTATTTGAAAGAAAGATGAATATTAAAGGAATGGGAAGAAAAGAATCTATAGGGTTAAAATTTATTTTGATTATTTTTAACTTATTATTGCCTAAAAGTTAAAAGTTAAATAAGATAGTATTTGAATTTCATTTCACTGTAACTTTTATTAACGTTATTTTTCATATTTTTCTAACACTACCCATGCCTAGCCATTTGCTACAATGGAATAATGATACTAATTTTATTTCTTCAAAAGTAAGTTGTTACCTTCCATTACCTTCACTTTGTAGGCTACTGTTTTACAGTTAGTACTTTCTGAAAATTATGCTCCACAAAGAATATCAGGCTCCATAAATATATGTCAGTTCAATCTACACCTCTGTAGCAGTTTTTACCAGTAAGTTGTTAGCATTCCTAAGCAAGAGGATGGCCAGCTGTGGAGAGGAGGCAGTGATGCTCGTCTCTATGTGCTTGATTGCAGAGCAATGAAACAGCCTGAAGGCTCACAGGTGCTTTCTGGAAAGGGTTCAGATATGCTCTTCAATGCTCGAGTCTTTCTCTATGCTTTAATCATCTTTATAGAATAAAACCTACATTAAGGCAACAGGAATGACTTTATGAAAAGCAGGGTTTTAGTCCCTCGTCATCTACAGAAAAGTGCTAAAGGTTCATTTTGACGGGGAAATGGGTATGTGTGTAATATCAAGTTTAAATAGCAAAAACATTACAAGTTCTTATAATTTTTATGAATACTCTAATTTTTCTGTGATGTATTTGAGAGGGAAAATTAATTCACCTGTAGTTCATGCTAATATCTCCTTGTGATTTGCCATGCTGATGCTTGCACATCACCAATGCCTAAAGAGCAGAATAGGAGATAGAAACATAAAGTTTTGTTTTGCTGACTACTTGTGAAACCTAGAGAAATTATTGCTGTAAATTTCGCTTTGAGACTATAGCAGCTGTGAGGAACAGCTCATTTTGGGGTTAATTCTGAAATGTGACTGATGCTTCTAAATCTCTTGGTGCACAGCAAGTGCCATTTAAAGATCTAGCCCTTTGCTTATGGCCAGCATCTCAAATGATGCAAGAGACAAATTTATAGCTTTTAAAGATGGAGGAAAGCATATAGATTCTATTAAAAGAGAAATTTGTCTTAGAAAAACTGTGAGGAACAGGACCTGAGATAATTAACTTGTTTGTGAATTAAAATAAACTTCTTGAATAAATTGCTCTGAAATTTCAGAATGAAGCTGAGCTTAATGAATTTTTATTGCAGATTGGAAAGAAATAATTGAAGGAATTACTTTTTATGTCTTTCAAAGAAGCTTTTTCCTATTAATTTATTTTTATGGGAAATAAGAATTACATGAGGGGCTTGTATTTGTCTTTTGAGGGGGTTAAGAGTAGAATTGATTGTCTTGTTTTTACGATCTTAAACATTGCAGAAAAGAAATAAATTGTCAGAGAAATTACTTTTGTCTTTAATTGATCCTAAATGTTTTATCATGGAGTAAAAGTTCTGTAAGTAAAATTACTGGTTTGGACTTTTTAGTAGAACAGTAATTGGCAGAGTGTTATTCTGGACCTTGATTTTTACTCAGGTAGTAGGACTTTAATTCCAAAAACCTTTTTTATTAAAACCTATTTACAATGGTATTTGTGCCTACAATACCATAATTCTCTACTATTTTTTATCAAAACCAGTGGATTTATATGACCATTTTTAATTTGAGACATCAAAAAGCTCCCCTTGAGTAAGCTTGTTCCTTTACTTTTGCATATATTTGCCTTTCAAGGCACAGGAATTGTATCCCCCACATGTAACGAGTGATCTGTTATGGAAGAAACACTGCCTGTAAATAAAACCAACCAAACTGTCATTCATCTAAATTACTGTCCTGCTTTAGGGCAAATTTGGGAGGAAACTTCGAAAGAGGTCCCTCTAGAAAGCAGATTCAAGCAGCCCCTCCCTCAACTGGTTCGGGAAAACATTTCCTCAGAGAAAAGTAGAAAAAACTGTTTGTTAAACAAGCAAAGTATTCACAAGCATAAAAAGGGAATAATATTAAACAATAAAACCTCTTGCTGTTCTGAAGAGGTGGCAAATTCAGAAAGTCCTTTGTGTGGGTTGTAGCTTGGCTCACTCAGTCCCTTATCAATCCCTCCTGTGCTGGAAAACGTTGCGATGAAACAAAACCAAAACCAAAACCAAAACGACCAAGATAACTATCTCTGAAACTCTGCAATCAAATTTTCTCAACTCTGTGAGTATTTGGCTTCTCATTTACATAATCCTCATCCCTTACGGGAGAAAACAAATTGAACAAAATATCTGCATCCAATTAACAGAGCAATGAAAAGAAAACATATCCCACATGTGCAATGATCACACTTGAAAATTCATAATTAGGTTTCGTAACTATATTGCCTATTATGAGAGTAAGGAAATCTGGAATTTATGTTCTTGTGTGTACTTTTAATTAAGGCATAGAGCAGCATTAAAAGGCAATGAGTTTTAATTGACATAAACTCTTATAAGGAGATAAGATTCAAATGTTTTGTTGAAAGCAAAGGTTGGAAAAAACAGTTTTTAGAGCTTTCAGATATCAAGTTATTGCTGACCACTTTCTATCTCACACTTATTAGCATAAAAATATGGGCAAAGGCGAATATCTTGCTGCTAATTCTTAGCCTTAGGTTCAGATATGCAGCACACATACTTCAGTTCTCAATGCTGAAACAAAAGCTTCAGAATTTGGATTGATGAAATCACATTGATTTTGAAACAGATCAGAGGATAAAATCAATTGTTTGGGTTATGGTGGAGGTGCAAAATTTTAGGATTCATGGAGATTGCTAGAAGCTTAACTTATAGTCTGGTTTTCTTGTGGTTCTCATGCTTATTTCTTTACTTCTGTACCATATCAGACAGTAGAATACAAATATATTATTTCTCTATCTTCAAATTTCTTTTGTTTGTTGATGTGTTTGTTTGTTTGTTTGTTTTTATAATTGCATTTGCCTATTTCTGCCTTTGGCAATATTTAAAGTCATGTATCTCATTACTTGCCTAAAAGTCACAGTATATCTTGTGTGAATTTAGTTATTGATTTGTTTTATTTTCATTTTCATTTGTAGGTTAAAAATTAATATCAAAAGTGCTCAAAGACAATTAACTGCTATTTAAGAAACTTTAAAACTATCCTATCGAAGTACTTCTCAGAATGCTTTTGACATATTTCTGAAATCTTCACATAATTTGGAACTTAAGGCTGTCCAGATCATCTGTATAAATTTAATAACAGACATTTTTTTGGTTTTGTGGAACTGTCTCCACAGACATGTAATTCTCCAGGAGAATTACAAGTCTAGTGCGCAGGAAGCTGAGAAAATTTGTCATATATTGAGTATATTTTAAGATTAAGACCGATGTTACTCTTTTTCATTTGAAGTGCCCTGCAAAACATGCAAAACATGTATAAAGTTAGGAAAAGAGCATTCCTAAAGCCAAATAAAAATTAAAAAAATAAAATCAGTCAAAGGCTGGGAGATGTAGAATTATAATTACTTTGTTTAAGTCAATTTGTACACATGTAAAGATAATTTCTTAAATATATGAGAGCATAACACTTTTTAAGGATTAATGGGTTTCAGGTAATGAGCTTTTTGTTGATGAATTTGGTGTCCTAGGCTGTATTTGCTGAACTATATGTAAGCTCTACTGTATAGTAAAGATAAATATCTTACAGAAAGATTGAACACCATGGTGAGACCTGACATGGGAGTAGTTGTAGTTGCAGTTGTTGAATCAAGCTCTCAACTGTAACCAAGGAAATGTTCTGAAAAACAGTTTAACACTTTCTATCATGCACGGTGCTAGTAACCCCACTTGTCATTCACCTGAACGTGGAAGACAAAAAGATGAGACCACATTGTGGCATGAATGTATCATCACTTCATGGATTCTTCCGTTTGATTTCACATTTGTAGCCCCACACTTCAGAACAGAGAAGAAGAAAGGTATCAGTTAAGACAAACCTCTTACAGATCTTTTGGAGGGTCCAGAGCAAGACACTGTAGGCTTGTCTGCTTTTTTCTCTTTCCTAACAGCCCAGTATTGGTCAGAAGCAAGGACTGGAATGTGTTAGATGGAACTGGTTCTCCCATCACAACTGGGAAGTAATATTATTGACTGTCTTCCACTGCTGCTTGTCCCTTTCTCCTCAGTTGTGTGGTAACTGTAATCTTTTTTTTTTGCTATAGTAATGAACCAAAAGTTAAAGACACTTTAGTAGGTCTGAAGAAGGAGCCACAGTCGTGCATACTGTAGAGGTGATTTGGTCTCTGAAAATACAAGGATAAATACAGTGTATTTATCATAAGGCTAAAATAGACCAATTGATACAGCTTTTATTTCCTTTATAAGGTAAGATGACGAAGAACAAAAGAGATGACAGTCTATACTGGTTTTGACTGGGGTAGAGTTAACTTTCTTTATAGTAGCTTGTACATTGCAATGTTTTGCAAAGCATGTTGTTAACACAGACATGCTTTAGTTAGTGCTGAGCAATGTGAACACTGTGTCAGGGATTTTTCTGCTTCCTATTCTGTCCCATTAATGAGTAGGCTGGCACCAGACAAGAAGTTTGGCTGGGTCTGACCACAGCAATAAAAGTGATATACCAAACCATATAACCATACTCAGCAATAAATACTGGTGGAGAATAAGACAAGAGAAAAGGGTATTTGGAGTTACGGCACTTGTTTTCCAAAGTAACCAGTACATATGGTGGGGCCCTGCTTTCCTGGATATGACTAAACAGCTGGCTGTCCCTGGAGAGAAAATTAATTAATTCCTTGTTTTGTTTTGATTAAGCACACAGCTTTTGCTTTACCTATTATCTTCTCAATCCACCAGTTTTTGCCCTTTTATCCTATAATTTTGTCTCCCACCCTACTGTGGGGAAGAATGAGTGAACTGCTTTGTGATACTTATCTGCCATCTGTGGTTAAATTGTGATATGGTCAAACAATGAACCTTTTGTTTTCATTCTATTAGGAAGCTACTCCTAAATTAACCAAAACTTCTGAAAATATTTGTCAAGCACTGCCAAGAGCTATCTGCAAGGAGTAATGCAGTTCCCTAGAGCTATTTCTGATTTTCTTAATATTACAGGGGATAAATGCAGTACAAAAACTTTGTTCTTTCTTGCAAACATCTATTCTCAGTAATGCAAGGAACTTCTTGACAGCTTTCTAGTTCAGAGACAAGAATTGCAAAAAAGGAAGAAAGAAGTGGAAAAAATGGTATTTATGGTTAAATATTTTCCAGTAATATAGATTAATTGTCATTGTACAGCAATTTGACGCTTTCCACCTGAAAACAATTTTTGCATATAATTGAACGTGGTGCTATCATTCTCATCTTGTTATTCATTTAATTATGAATCCAGATTATTTAATAGAAAAATAACTGTGTTGGAACCGATTTAATAAAGAAATAATTGAAACAGAGCAATGCATCTCTGACTGCTTCCTTAATTCTAGCTGTTACTAGCCCAGCTCCAGAACCTAAGTAGGTCATACAGATTGTCTACATACCATTTTCTTATTTGGGATGGGAGAGTCTTCAGATGCTCAGATGGGCTTCAAGAAAATGTCTTATACACTTGACAGAGCTAACATGATGGATTCTCTAACATATCTACCCTGAGGTTAAAAGAATAGATGAAAATATTTAGGTGATGTAAAAATTTTACATTCAGGAGGACAGCAGCTAAAACTCATCCAGTGGTGGGTGATCACAATGGTTGATTCTGTTTGGTGAGAAGGACTAAAATAGGCTTTAATCTTTTCAATCTAATGAATGGAAAGAATGAATGGAAGCTGAAATTCCTAATAAGTAATGATGAGGGGGAATTTTGGAACCAAGCAGCATAATGGCCATGATATTAAAATCTTCCCCTTTTATAGCTTTTCTATGCATTATGCATCTCACCTGGTGCAACAGATAAGATCAACTCAACATTATTCCAATATTTAAAGATAACAGAATTGACAAGCACACTGCTGCTGCTTTGACACCCTTGACAAATATAGGGCATCATAAAAGAGTATCTGAAAGTAGATATAATCAGAAATTAATGAAAAAAAAAATGAAATAATAGTTACTAATCAGTATGAAACTATCTTGACATCATTGCAGTGTCTTGGAAAGACAGGAACAGAATGGGTCAACTGTAATTGTCTAAGTGGCTCTTGGAGCCTAAAAAATTAAAACTGCACAAGCAAAGCCAGTTTAAATGAGTGTTATTCACCACTATATAGAATTACAGAACATACTGAGGGAAGGAACCCAAAAAAATCAAGTCTGACTCTTAAGTGGGTGGTCTACATAGGAATTGAACCCACATTCTTTGCATCATTATTATCAGCATGCTCTGACCAACTGAGCTAATCTCAGTCTATATAGGCATTCAAGGCCAGAACTTCCCTGAAGAGAAAATTAGGACTGACAAGTGACGGGCAACTGAGTTGGCAGAAGGCTTCCTCTACCTTTGTACCAGCAGATTTCTTCTACATATGTCACATTCACAGTTTGCTGTTCAGAGTTAGCATTTCAATGAACAGCATATCTACGGGTATTGTTAATAAAGAAAATAGATTCCTCTGCAAAAGAGAGTTCGGTTGTTTTTTTTTTTTTTAATTTTAATTCATTCTGTAAGGACTAATGAAGCCTACTGGGATTTCTACAGTGGAATAGAGATCTTTACACTTTCTAATGAGTATTTGCATAAGGGTAAAAAATAAGACATTAATAAGATTCTTGGTAGCAACTCCTCAGAGTAAACTTATAATTCTGTATATATTAGTCTGTGTAAACGTCTTTAGTTGTGTGCTGAATTTCGGAATTTTTGATTTGTTCACAAAAATTAAGTCGTTGAGGCTATCTGTACAGGGCAAAGACTTACAGCTTAATCATTCATATTAAAGAAGAAGAGACTACAGAATTTTCCTGAATGCTTACGTCTGGTTGTATCTTTTTTTCTTTTTTTTCATTTACATGAAGAATTATTTGTGCTTTGTCATAGATTGTTCTTTTTGCTTAAAAACTTCACCTCACAGTTTATGCAGCACGGCAGCTGAATCAAAAAATTCTGATCATTCCTGCTGACTGCTTTCTGCTCAGTAAATCAGTTCAGGTTTACTATATGTGTCTTTTTACACAGAGCAAAATCACACCCGGATTAATATAATTTGATATAGGTGAGAAAGGGTGGAGTGTGATTTTCCAATATGAAATAACATTTAAGAGAGAAGCTTTAAGTGAGATTTAAAAACAATACCAACATACAGCTTCAACATTCATTTATGGGTAACCTCCCCTATTGTCTGATATTTGGATGAGACCAGACTAGACATTTTCTGCTTGTGTATAATTCCACATTCTTAAATTCTTTTAATTAAAAGAGCTAATGATTTTGAAATAAATGACATAAAAATTTAGTTAGAAACCTATTCAGAATGACAGCTTTGACAACTCACTAATTATTTTTTATTTTCTTACACTTTAAAATCACCAGGGTCTTGTTAAGATAACATGAAAAATTCTTAAATATTTGAACACATCACTTTTTTTATTGTCATTTTGGTGAGGGCTATATAAAGATTTGCATGAGAAGAAAACAATCTTGTATAGATTACTCCTCACTCAATCAGGTATGTTCAAGATCCTTCAAGAGCAAAAAACTAGCAAAAATATTTCTTTGTCTCCTTTTATGTAGGGTTCAAGTTGACTATATGTAAGAGGTTGCTGTTTTATCATCGGAAAAAAAAATGTTTAAATTCAGCCCTTGAACTGTTTCTTTTGCCTAAAATGTACCTGCTCTTGTCATATTTTTTTCATCCTTTAGCAAAGAAACACTTTATGGCATTGTATCAGATTTTTAATTGATATCTAGGTCGAGACAAAATTACTTTTTTTCAACAGATTCAGTTAGCTATACTGTTTTTACTGCTTTCCTGAAAGTGACTGAGTTGGTGAAAAGGTATCAGATGTTCTATAAATAGAGCAGACTTTTGCAGCAAATCTTTTAAAAGAAATAGAAGAGTCAAAGAGATTCGGGATCTTTTGTGCTCTTATGGGCAATTTTATTGTTGATTTGGAATAAAAATAATAATTAAAGTAGGTAATTAATATTCGATTATTCGTTTGTTATTGAGTTTGAAGGAGTTTACTTCCTCCTTGGTTCTTGTGTCTCTGCTACATTTATTATAACTGGAAAAACTGACAATAATAAAGAAGCCAAGCTCCTTTAATCTCTTCTTCACAGAGTTTCCTGTCATCTTCCTAATAAACTTCATTTGCCAATAGTCCCGTTCAAATTTCTTTTTTCCTGAAAAGACTTATCCTGACTGAAGGCTTTATAAAGGTAGGATATGAGCAAGGTACTGTATTACTTATAACTTCTGAAACAGTATCCATCCTTTACATTTAAAAAGGAAGCATATATGATTTCATTCATGATTTATGAAGCAAATGAATATCTATAATCAGAGGGGCTGAATTTTCAATGCTTCCTGCAAAATGTAAAAAATCTTAGCTATAGGTGCAAAGTATCTGACTTGACATATATTTTTATATAATTGAGTTTCATTTCATGGACCCAACTCAGTTTTGTCACCCTTATCAACCTAGTGCCAGTCCTTTCTTTTCTTTTTTGACTGCTGTTTTTCCATGTAACAACATACCAGCTTCTGTATTGCAGTCCATTTAGGCATATTTACTGAATTCCCTAATTTGGGAAATAGATTATAAAAAAAGTTATCAGTGCTCATCTATCACAGATCCCTGCCTGTCTTTTTTATTGTTCTTTTTTTGTCTCATTTACTTAATTAAGAAAAAATATTTTGTGTCTCAAAGTTAATTTTAAGCCCTATGACCTATTAATATAAATCTTCGTACTTGACTTTGTCTTTCTCTTCCTATTATTGGAAATTTACAGTTCTTGAGCCATACATACACGGTTAGTTTTGACAGATCTAGGAAAGTGCATTATTAATTGCAGAACATAATGGGTTAGTTGTTTCAGAGATGTTGGAAGAAAATAAGTTCTCCGTACTGAGTTAATTTTAGTACGTAAAACTAGACTGCAATTTATTTTGCTGCTGTCTCAAATCTATTACCTTCCTGGTATTTACTTTTACAGCACGTTTATTTTCCCTTCTGGAAAAAAACCAAAACCAAACCACAAACCAAAAACCCCCACAAAACCCACACACTGTTAAAACAAGAGTGGCACATCATTCTTTTTCTTGGTTTAGTACTATGTATTGATTATTTATAACCTTTACCCTTAATGCATGACGACCTCACCACTAATGGCACTGCTCTTTCACATGTGTGAATATCTACCTGTTGTTCACTTGTTAAAATCTGACTGGGACTTCTGTATATATATTCACTTCGTGTTCATATATCTTCTAAGGACATGCAAACTGAATTTTCACCTACCGTCTAAATGCTAAGACTTAACACTAAATCTCTTATGACCTGATGATAGGACAATATAGGTGGATGATACAGATGAAAAAACAACAGACCCCATCAGTTTTGACCTCTTAAGGTCTTGTTGGTATTTCTCCTGTGCATCCAGCTCAGACTACATGAACAACCATAAGCCCACGTTGCTGAGTGAGTTGTTTGGGAACTTAAACTCTAATATGCATGGTATAAGAATTCAGTCTGGAATGAGCTCCTAAACATGAAGGTAATGGTAGACTAGAAAGGACCTAACGTTTAAAATCATGGGGTATTAAATAATATTCCTTTGCCTAGCATTACAATTTCCTTGTTTCTTTGGGAGATTCTTGGAATGGGTAGTCAGTTGGTACCAATGAAGCAATGCTTTAAATGTATGCAAGATTCAGATATATATTCAAACTATTCTTTGTGCATGTTAAACAAGGCTTCAAAGTAAGTTGTATTTGGATCCTTATTATTTAAGTTCAATTTATTTTATAAATATTTAATCCTTTAAGAAAACATCAATGATATAATTTGCAAAACTAACACCAAAAAACACAGTATTTTTTTCAAAGACCTCATTAATATATTATATGCTTCTGAGGTAAGTATGCATTACTTTACACCTATTGTAATATTATTTCAAATTAAGAAATTGGTTCTCTTACATTCATTAACTTGTTATAATTGATCTATTTTTTTTTTTGTCTCCAGTGTACTTTCTTCATTTTCAATTACTTTATGATTTGGGGGTTTTAAAAATATACCATAGGCACATATCTGACATTATATGAAAGAAACATCAATGATCTTATGAAATTGGTGTAACTGATTTGACTTTCAAGAAGAGAAACTGAGTCCAGATTAACCTGGATTAAAAGATGCACCTTCATAATTTTATACATAGAAATCTCTGACTCATTTTCACATTAAATTATCTTGTATGTTTGCAAGTGAGGTAATTGTACATGTAGGTTACTAGTTAGATACCTTGTTAGCTGTTGGAATTGTATATAGTGATTAGGAGTAGGTCCTAAGTGTGTCTCAAGAAAAGAAAAAAATTCAGAAGATTTCTGAAAATTTCTGGACTACACTAAATTTTTAAATTTGTTTTAGAGCAAGAGGCAAGTGACTTTGGCTAGTTGTAGCCAGGCTACATTCGTTGTAGCTAACATTTTGCTCCTTATATCTACACAAGATAAGTATATTTTATGTGGAAAAGATATCAGAAGGAAAATATTGCAAAATAGGATCTAATGCGTTCAAATACTCAAAAGTAAAATTACTGTGTTTTAGTTTTGAATACTATTATTTACCTGTAAAAAATACAAGTATGTGTGATGTTCTTCACCACAGTATAATTGAACAATTTGCGCTCCAAGATATTATTGTCTAGATGTTTATTGCTGAAGAAATTGCATCTTGTTGAGTTTTTGATTACTGTTTTTGGAGTGCTTGTGTGCATTCCTGAAGACAGCATTTGCTGTGCATTCAGGTAGTAAATCTGAAAACAATGTGAGCACATGTTGCCCTTTGCACATTTTTTGTGCATTTGGAATATCTAGAAAGAAAAAAAAGGCTACAACGGTGTTATATAGTAGTATTAGACAATTTGGGTGTTGACAGACAAATTCAATACAGGCTGTCTGTGGACTGTATTACTTCTGGCCCTAGAGATTAAGGATCATGGAAACGAATTTTTAAGTAGTCTGATCTTGGTTAAAAGGACTCTAAAGGATTTTCTGCGGGATTTAAATAGCGTCTAACAGTATGATTGCTTTAATAAATTCTTTCAAATTGTATGCAACTTAATTCTATGTTTCTCAATATAAGGAGAATTCTATATGAAACATATAAAGGAAAGTACTTTGCTTTAAATTTTGTCAGTGTATCTAACCAAGTGCAGTTAACAGACCTGTGTTCAGAGATGCTAAGGACTAGGCATTCTGAAAGAAAAACGTATAAGGAAATTACAATAATTAGTAAAACAGACACATATTCAAATCCAAACCTTGTAACATTAATTTTGACTCTTTGTATCTTTGAAAAGTTTATCAGTTCAGAAGTCTCTGAGGAGCTGTGGAACTCTTGTCAGATCATGTCCTGTAATGGCATTCATCGCAATTAAGCAAGTATGATATGTTCATTTGGGATAAAAGAAGGTGAAGAGTTGAAAGGGACCTTGAGGGATCATGTTATCTGTGTTTCTGGTCTTAAGCAGTATTAAGTATACTTAGATCATCCTCGTTACTGTTAATTATTTTGTAATTTAAAAGCTCGCCCTAAAGATTTTATAAAGCTTTCAAGGCAGCCTTTACCCTTTTTACTGTAATTGCAGTAATCTTTAATTTTTCACCTGTGCATTTTTTTCACTTTCATTAAAATAAATTCCACTTCCATTACAGAAAACTTCAGTGTTCTTTGTGTTAAAGCAGAGAATATAGCTGCAGTGTTTTCTCAGGATGCAACATACTTTTCTCCAATGCATTTCCTTGAATAATTAACTGCTACACGCAAAACTGAAGGTGAACCAGAATAGCTGTCATCTTATATAACATTGTTGTTGCTATATCCTACCATGATAGCTGCCTGACATGATGATAAGGAACAGCATTGCACTTTTGACTCATGGTCTATTTTATCTACTCAGCATCTAGTTCGTTTTTGCAGGATTTCAACCCGGTCTGTACTTGCTTGTTTCCCATTCTTGCATTCTTGCACCTTTCCAAAGACAGAATTTATTTTTGCATTTGTCTTTTTG